TATAGACGAACTAAAGCCTCCAGACAAATCGGAATCCTTTGTAGACGAGCTGAAGCCTCCAACCGACTGTCTTAATAAAACCTCCAGGCGACTTTATAGACGAGGTGAAGTCTCAGAGTTTTTATAGCTTAATCCCAGAACTAATGCTGAAGCCTCCACAGAAGCTATAGAGACTTGTAGATGAGCTAAACCGGGAGTCTTTATAGACAAGCTGAAGGCGATAGTCGGTCTTTTGTACATAACTGAAGAATCCAAGCGACTGGGAGTAATTGTAGAAGAGCTCAGGCCTCCACGTAACAGGGAGTCTTTATAGCCTAGCTGAAACCTCCAAGCGAACTGCGAGTCTGTATAGACGAGCTGAAACCTCCAGACGAACAACATATTTATATTTAGTATACCTATCGTCCGTTGTGAACCCATCTCCACGACTTTTATATGTGGCAAGATAAATTATTTTATAGGCGAGATAAAGCTTCCAGGCGAATAGGGAGTCTCTAAAGACAAAGTGACGCCTCCAAGCGAACTGGGGGGTCTTTATAAACGAGGTAAATCCTCCAACCAACTGGGAGTCTTAATAGACGAACTGATGCCTCCAACCGACTGGGAGTCTTAATAGACCAACTGAATTATCCAGGCTAAAAGGAGTCTTTATAGAGGAGCTAAAGTTTGGAGGCGAATAGAGAGTTTTTATAGGCGAACTGAAGCCTCCGGGAGAACATGGAGTCTTTATAGACCAGCCAAAGCCTCCAGGCGACAGAGAGTCTTTGTAGATGAGCTAAACCGGGAGTCTTTATAGACGAGCTAAAGCTACCAGGCAACTGGGAGTCTTTATAGACAAGCTGAAGGAGATAGTCGGTCTTTTTATATAGACAAGCTGAAGGCTCAAGAATACCAGGGTCTTTGTATAGACAATGAAGGCGATAGCGGTCTCCAAGCGAACTGGGAGGCCTCCACGTAACAGGGAGTCTTTATAGCCTAGCTGAAGCCTCCAAGCGAACTGCGAGTCTGTATAGACGGGCTGAAGCCTCCAGACGAACACCATATTTATATTTAGTATATCTATCGTCCGTTGTGAATCCATCTCCACGACTTTTATATGTGGGTACGATTCTGACCAAAAGATGACACCTCTAAAAATGTAATGTGAACAATTATAGAATATGCGAATTATGATGTATATGTTCACATCGGGGAAATTAGGATCGGTAAGAATTAATAGTATAGTTTAATTTTTCAATTAAATCGTTCTAGGTTTTGTGTAGGATACGATATGGTAATTCTTTTCCGACTATACATCTCCGCTTGTCATTCCCATCATTGTTGAATTCTGAAGCCAGAGAGGCGACAGGCAGTCTTTATAGGCATGCTGAAGCCCTAAGCGAAAAGGGAGTGTTTATGGGTGAACTGATGCCTCAAGGGCTCCCTTTCGCATGGACGACCTGCTAGTACTCCATTGCTAGTATTCCAATTATGATTAATATTAAATGGTGTATCGGTCTATTTTTATACCCTACACAGGGTATTATATCTTTGTGCAGCCACAAAAGTTTGTAACGCCGCGAAATATTGGTCCTAGACCCACCTTTGACTCCATTATAATTTGTTTATACGATACAGGCCACAGTTATGGACCGATCTTCACGAAATTTTGCATGTAGGATGGGTTCTGGTCAATGAAGACCCCTATTGCTTTTGGTAAAGATCGGTTAATATATAGGGATGAAATGGACCAACAGCATTATTTTTGTCGGTTTTTCTGGTCGCTACAGAGGCCGCAATTATGGCCCAAACACCGCGAATTTTTGCATGGAGAAGGGAATCGGGCCAAATAATAACCATGCCTGTTTTGATGAAGATCGGTCAATATCGGTCACAACACAACCCACGGTGAAAAGAATATGGACAAGTAATTAGAAGGGCTGTACTGAATATTGGTAATATTCGGAAAATATGTCAGTGTAAGGAAGAGCTGCTGTTGACCTCTACTCGGGCAAGAGGGTGCAACTATCACAAAATATTACCCAGGCTCGGAATAAAAATCCGCAGAAAGATAGAGTTATGTGGTAGTTGTGCTCCGCTCACTGGTTTATTTTTATATAACTACTGCTCCTCCCAAATTTCAGTTGCATTATGTGTATTAGTTGCCGCGCCATCTGTACACCACAGTTGTGTGTCCACTATAATCAACATACGAACGCCATCTAGTTTTTTATTCCCTTCAACAAAATACCGAAAATAAACCAGGCTCTCATATATGGGTCCTATATCAAAACATGGAACCACATTGAAAAGTTTTTTTTATCCTTTTAGGAAATTAATAAGCAAATTCCAGACTCATAGGATAACAGCTATGGAACCAATCTAAAACCAACAAAACAATTTATGCTGGTTGAAGCGCCAATTAAATACGATATTGTAATTTTCGTCCGACTATACTTCTCCGCTTGTCATTCTCATCAATTCTGAATTCTGAAGCCTCATTGCGACAGGGATTGTTTATAGGCAAGCTGATGCCTTCAGGCATCCCTGTCGCCTGCACGACCTGAAGCCTCTAGGCTTTACTACCGTTTTCATCTTTGACAAATTTCACATACATTGCTAGTACTCCAAGGATGTGTAGGTCTAAATTTTTGTATAGTCCCCATCTATAACTACTGTCCCTCCCATATTTCAGTATTAATTGCATTTGTTTCCACGCCATCTAGATTCCACAGTTAATGATTTGTGACTCCACTATGATAAATATACCGAACGCCATCTGGTTGCTACCAGGGAAATATTTTTACGAATCTGCACATAATTATAAATTGGAAAATATTTCTTATTCACTTCAACAAAATACCGAAAATCGATCAGACTTTCATATATGGTTGCTATTTCAAAACATGGAACCACAAATGTAGATTTGGAGCCAATCTAAAACTAATAAAACGATTTGAGCTGGTTGAAGCGCCATCTAAACACGATATGCCATTCTAATCAAATCTGAATTCTGTAGCCTCAATCGATAGGGATTCTTTCTTTTTATAGGCAAGCTGATAACTTCAAGCATCCCTGCCGCCTGAACGACCCTAAGTCTCCAGGTTTTACTACCGTGTTGATCCCCATCTATAACTACTGTCCCTCCCATATTTCAGTATTAATTGCATTTGTTTCCACGCCATCTAGATTCCACAGTTAATGATTTGTGACTCCACTATGATAAATATACCGAACGCCATCTGGTTGCTACCAGGGAAATATTTTTACGAATCTGCACATAATTATAAATTGGAAAATATTTCTTATTCACTTCAACAAAATACCGAAAATCGATCAGACTTTCATATATGGTTGCTATTTCAAAACATGGAACCACAAATGTAGATTTGGAGCCAATCTAAAACTAATAAAACGATTTGAGCTGGTTGAAGCGCCATCTAAACACGATATGCCATTATAATCAAATCTGAATTCTGTAGCCTCAAGCGACAGAGATTCTTTCTTTTTATAGGCAAGCTGATGACTTCAGGCATCCCTGCCGCCTGAACGACCTTAAGTCTCCAAGTTTTACTACCGTGTTGATCTTTGACAATTTTCAATGGTGTATAGGTCTAATTTTTTGTGTAGTCCCCTATAACTACTGTTCCTCTAAAATGTAAATAAATTTTATCCTCTCAGAAAATTAAAAATAAAATTTCAGACTTATAGGATAATGGATATCAAAAAAACCAATAAAAACAATTTAAGCTAATTGAAGCGCCATCCAAACACTACTGTACTTAGTATGTGTATATAGTCCCCATCTATAAAACCACCAAAATTTCAATATTGACTCCATATTGGTTCAAGGGTAGCTCATAATCATTCAGGATTTGACAACTCATTATACCACAAATTCGTAATGGCATAGCCTTCATATAAACCTTTATAATTTACCAGCTCGGAATTTCCATCTCTTGATGGAAAGTAGGAATGGTTTGGTTTGGCCGAAGTGTTAAGTCATGATATAAAGGACTTCTAAAAAGGATAATATCCATCATATTGCATTATCTAATTTAATATGTCCTATTTAATCCAAGTTATAATTCAACTCACGTCCCTCCCTCTCCCTATCTACTAACGGTGATTAATTAATCCTACCCAAACCAAATTAGTCGCATACAAAAAACGAAAACAAATATTTTCTGACCGAAATATTGCGAAAGTTTCTAATTAGTTTTCAACACATAAAAATTTTGGTAAAACATCTACCACTTTGACATTTCGCCTTTGTCACTGTCATCAATGGAAACAAATCTAAAAGAGAAATTTTGTTTATGTTCGATTTGTATTTTGTTGCTCCTTCGTTTGACCAGCTTCCTCCAAGCAAAAGTTCAAATACCCTCTGCCGAACAATGATGAAGTTTAATGTCTGTAGGCATCCTGCGCCACCATGCCCTAGGCAAACAAAATAACTAAAATATGTTAACGGTCATTTCAATCTGCCACATTCTCCACCCCTACTCCTTGGCTCACTCTTCCTATCGTCCGGTCTGGTCATTATTTAAGCATCCACAAGAACAAACTAACATTTCGATTATCAGTCAAAGGCTATTAAAGCCTTAGAACGAAACAAGAAGTAGAACATAAAATAGGAATTATGATGCTCGTCCATTATCTGGAGGTAGTATGCTTTTAACCACAACCCACAGATGATACTGCTGCCCTATACTAGAGTTTTTGGGGGTAGGGGAAAAGTGATAAAAATCGCCACATTTTATAAATAACCATGTCCTAGCACACACACCAAAATATGGTACGAGAAAAAAAATCCCGAAAACATAAGTTAACCATCTTTTTGATGATAGTATGCCGCAACCCCTCTCTACAACCCATAAACAAAATCTTACTTTTTTTTCGTTCGTTGTCATTTCATAATCATAGTTATGTTCTTCGTTTTTTTTTTCTCATTTACTTTGTTATTATATTTTTCTTCGCTTATTCTTATATTCCTCTCCTTCTTCCTCGTCTCTTTGCAGAATATTTCACACAACAGCCTCACAGCCACTTCATCAACTGGAACTAATGCCATGGTTGTGTGCGTCGATAATGGCATTAATGGACGCACCAAAGTTTTCACCGAAAACGAAGCCAAAGAATCCCTGCTGAGCAAATATAATGCCAATGAGACCTGTATATAGCCCAAGGCCAGAGTAAGAAGACAAACTTCAATTCGTGTAAATTATGTATAAAGTAAAACCAAACAAACAAATAAGTATTTCAATGTAGGATAGATAGAATAAAAAGATTTTATATTTTTTAATCAAAATAATATAACTTAAGATGATAAAATTGTATATATGTATGAAGTGTTATTTATCATTATTTGTAATGAGAAGTTGGGAAATAATTGTCGATAAAACTTCTTAGTAGGGTAAATGTGGGAGAGAACCATTAAATAATGGCAGTAGTTTATACACCATCTATACATCACAGTTAGTTGTGCGAGTCTCCACTATGATTGATCTAACCAAGGCCATGTATCTGAAAATAGCGGTAACATACTTTGTCATTGCTCTTAATTATAAAGCGGACATTTTTTATTTCATTCGACTGAATACCTAACCGGAACCGTAATGTAAATAATATGAGGGGAAATTGGGGTTATCCTTTTAGAAAAACAAAAATCATATATCCAAAACATTTTTAATAGATATGGCGAACTAAGCAGATTAGTTTTCATAATAGGGTAAATGTGGGAGCTTAGACAAAAAAACATTAAATATTTGCCGCGCCATCTAGACAGCACTTTTAATGATTTGTGTCTCTACTAAGATCAATATACCAAATGCCATCTACTTGCAACCTGTGTAAATAGTTTTACGAGTCTACACATAATAATAAATTGGAAAATATTTTTTATCCCTTTCAACAAAATACCAAAAATCGATCAGGCTTTTATATATGGTTTCTTTATCAAAACATGAAACTACTTTACAAATTATGTGCCCGAAGATTGTTCTCTCAGAAAATTAAAAATCAAAGCTATGGAGCTAATCTAAAGCCGAAAAACCATTTAAACTGGTGAAAGCGTCTTCAAAACACTACTGTACTTGATATGTGTCTATAACACGGTAAACTCAACGCCATCCAGATTCTACAAGGGTAAATACGTTTCGGGATTTTTGTTTAGAACGCAATTGGTTCACAACCGGAAATCTTATTATTAAAAGTTTTTGTGGTCCCAACAGTTTGTAACATCACCAAATGGTAGACCTAACTTTTAGTATACTAATCGTGCGTTGTGGACCAAATCATCATGACTTTTAAAGGTAATAGCTCCCATATATATTTTCGTCCGATTTAATGAAAACGGTCCCTATATATCTTTCGATTTGCACGAAATTTGGTATTTTTTACAAATTGAATAGATGTTGTAAACCAAGCAGAAACCACAAAAATACAGATAACGAATTAGGTCTAAAATGATGTGTGCAAAATTTCGGTAAAATCGGTTCAGATTTGGATATAGCTCCCATATATATTTTCGTCCGATTTTAAGGTAAATGGTGTACCAAAGTCTCTATATATACTTCAATTTGCGCGAAATTTGGCATAGCGTACTGAATTAAGTCTAGAACGATGTGTGTAAAGTTTCGTGAAAATCGGATCAGATTTGGATATAGCTCCAATATATATTTTCGTCCGATTTAAGGTAAATGGTGTACCAAAGTTTCTATATATACATCGATTTGCACGAAATTTGGCATAGCGTACTGAATTAAGTCTAGAACGATGTGTGTCAAGTTTCCTGAAAATCGGTTCAGATTTGGATATAGCTCCCATATATATTTTCGTCCGATTTAAGGTAAAGGATCCACCAACGTCCCTATATATCCTTCGATTTGCACGAAATTTGCCACAGCGTACTGAATTAAGTCTAAAAAGATGTGTGTTAAATTTTGTGGATATCGGTTCAGATTTAGATATAGTTCCTATATATATTTTCGTCCGATTTTCGGTAAATAGCGCACCAAAATCCCTTTATATCCTTTGATTTGCACGAAATTTGGCATAGCGTACTGAATTGAGTCTAGAATGATGAGTGATGAGTGTCAGGAAAATCGATTTAGATTCCGACATATCTCCCATATATATTTTCGTCCGAATTTATGTAAATGGTGCACCAAGGTTCCTATATATATCCTTCGATTTGCACAAAATTTGGCATAGCGTACTGAATTAAGTCTGGACAGATGTGTGTTAATTTTCGTGAAAATCGGTTCAGATTTAGAAATAGCTCCCACATATAGATTATATTTTTAACAACTCGGCGTACCGAATAGCGTGTATCAATTTTGCTATGAACCCTGTTCCATAAATTTTCCCCATGTTACGCAGGCGGCTCTAAATCTGCTCGAATGAAATTAAAGTTAGGATAGGTTGGAGAAAGAGGGAACATAGACATGCAATTGTTAGGATACATATGTACAATATACCGAAAGTGGTGAAGGGTATCATATAGTCGGCCCAGTCCGACTTTACTACTTTTCTTACTGGTTTTTAATATGTAAATAATATATGGAGTATCAAGTAGAATTGGTTGCGGGATATCATATTGTTTAATTTAAATCATCGTCTAATGACATCCTTTCCATTAATTATTGAATAAGCAAATATTACAAATTCTGTCTTTGAGGTCTTGGCGTAGAACTTATCTTTCACGTGGCTCCAAGTAAGAAGTCCGTGTAATAAATTGTCCTCTTTGGGAAATCAGATGGTCAAAATGGTATAATTTGGAATTTGCAGAAAAGTGGTATGGTATCGGTGCCCAAAGATCATCATTCAAGGAAAATTTTGATTAGATCTATGTATTGCCTTCACCATAAGATGGATAATATAATCGTCGAAGTACATCTTTTCTTGTGTCCTTCTGTATGTTAAAATCGCGATAGGGATTGCAATAATCAATATAGATCTTCAAAACTTTCGTATTTTGACATTGCCTTAATTTGAAGGTCCCGTCCCATTTTCGGTATTTTAAAGGTTTTGGAGATTTCAGCCGCATTTTTGGATGGTATAACAATTTATACATACATTTCCCAATATCTCCTTCTTATATCTATTTAAATCTTTGGTAAGCTTTCATTGAATTAAAAAACGAAATATTTTGTTGTTAAAAAAAATACGACAACGGAAACAAAACTATTTGAAATAATTGTGATTATTTGTGATGCTATTGTAATATGTTTGTTGTAAATTAAAAAAATAAATGTAAATAAAACAAAAAACAATAATGTTAAAAAAAAATTATGAAAATATATATATATATATATATATATATTTAGTATTTTAATTTAATGTAATTTAATTTAATTATAATATGTTTTGATATTCAGTTATTTTCTAAGAGAAAGACTAACAATAAAATATTTATATATTTAAGTGAATTAAAAATTATATTATAGCAAAACTATGTCTCATAAAAAAGTTATTATTATTGTTGTTATAAATCCAAAAAAAAAAATAATAATATATTTAATGAAAAAATATATATGTAAATTAATAAGGACTAATTTAAAAATAAAATTCCAAAAAGAGGTATACCAAAATATATGTATATATAGTTATTGTAATTTTTTTTCTCAAAAAATAACTACATTAAATGTATACCAAACGAAAAAAAATGGACCAACCAAACATGTTTTCCAAACGGCTAAAATATCCTTTCGTCGGAGTGCAGAGGTGGTCCATAGCTAATAGCATCAACCGCTTAAAATTAAGTAAACGAAAATAATGATGAGAACATTTTTTGTGTTTTCATTGGAAAAACAAACGATATATTCATTTAAGGCTTATATATGTACATAATGTAAACGAAGTATGTGAAAAATGCTAATGTATAACGAATTAACTTAAATGAAAAAATATATATATTCCCTTTATTAAATGTTGAATGAAACGAAAAAAGGTTCTACTAAATTTAATTTCAAGGTAAGTAGAAGAAGAGGTCATTAAAAATTAAAAAATAATAATTATTTTAAGTAACAAAGTTTTACTTTTTTTTTTAAAAAAATTCACGTCTTCGAAAAAATATTTTTAAAAATCCACAATTTGAATAGTCTCTGAAAAAATATTTTTAAGAAAACCACGCTTTGAATAGTCTCTGAAACACACATTTTAAAGATTCAATTCATGTTCATGAAAAATATTTTTAAACCAGTGAGCGGAGCAGTATAGTCGGACGGGGCTGACCATATGATACCCTACACAACACGAAAATAGAGGTCAACAAATATTACTAATATTCAGTACAGCTCTACTCATTACTTGTCCCTTTACCGTAGGTTGTGTTGTGATATTCGGCTTTTAATTGTAACCTATAGATCGCCTCGAAAAACACACAAAAAATTAGGTTTTCGTGGGTTGTGTTGTCCTATTAATCGTCTCGAAAAAACACAAATAGGTTTTCGGTCCTCGTCATCCGAATATTATTATCTGATCATCATCGAAAATTATAGGCGTTGTCCTTGACCTCATGGAAAATTTAAAAGCGCTCAATGCTATATTTCCGCCCTCAATTGTGGTAATAGTTTACTAAATAATATCTGAACACGTAAACACCTTCAAATATTTACGTGTAACTCCCACCTCCGAGTACATACGACAATTTAATTAGTATCCTCTTGGATGTACTATCAACTCTTCGGGCCTATGTCCTTCAGGGTATATATACGCTATAGAATACAAGTTTTGTAATTTTTCACACAAAAGTCAGAGTCCATTTGACCCCCTAAATATTTAACAACCTACCAAAACAGGCGTGCTCATTATTTGGCCCGATTCCTTTCTCCATGTAAATTTTCGCGATGTTTGGGCCTTATGTGCCTCTGGAGCGACCAGAAAAACCGACAAAAATTAAGTATTTGGTCCATTTCATCCCCTAATTATTAACCCATCTTTACCATTCATTGTCCAGAACCCATCCCACATGCAAAATTTCATAAAGATTGGTCCATAACTGTGGCCTGTATTGTGTATACAAATTATAATGGACAGACAAACGGACGGACACACGTCGAGATATAACGATCGGTATACTTAAAGGCGGGTCTAGGACCAATATTTCGCGGTGTTACAAACTCTTGGGTCTGCACAAACCTGTCAGGGTATTAACAACATAGTTGTGTAGGGTATAAAAGTACCCGCCTCTATTAGTGCATGAAAAAATATTTTCAAACCAGTAA